TTTAATAGACCCAAAACAGTTTTGAACAAACATTTGTTATTCTACAGATCCTACTTCTTAGAAAACCAATGCACAATATTACCGCTCGAGTTAAGTATTGATATATGGGTTTAGGAAAACTTGTTTCATAGGAACATTGTTGCTCAACAACACACATACGTCAACTATTGAAACAAGTAAACAGTGTTTTCTGAGTTCTTTTTAATTTATTCTTTGTCATAAATGTTTGTATGTCGAGTTTCTCTTCAAAATTTTGATGCTAAATCAATGGCATGAGGAGATTTCTCATGTTCATATTCAGAATCAATTTTGTCAATAATTTATCATTCAATAACTTTTGTTGAGACGAATATTAGTTAGAGCAACAAATTCTTTGGTAACTTAATGATAGTCTTTGTAATATCGTACCTTGAAAAAGATCTGGAAATTTCACTGGTAAAATAACAGCTTCTTGTAAAACATTTTTCGCTTGTTCTAAACCAACAACGTCAGCAAATGTAACTTGTGGATCAGTAACAATCGCTCCTGAAATAACAACAAAATGAATAATTTTGTTTGTGAGGAAGTAACGAATTCGGTTACCTTCAATTTTTTGCATCATTCGTCTTCGTTCTGGATCATCACTATCATCATCATCTTTATTATCTTTTGAATTCACACCATCAGCAACTGGTTTGTTTTTTGGTGGTCCATTCTTCAAATTACCTTTCATTTCTTCCGCTCGCTTTATGTAACTATTCACTTTCGCACAAATATTTTGTTTAAATTGATCATTCATTGCTCCATCTACATAAGATACATTATGGAAATATATCCATATATTTTTTCTAAAGAACATTTTGTTTTTGATACACTCACATTTTAAAGCATGCATTAAGCATTCTGCTGATGCCAAGTAATTTCTACTAGCAGCCTCAAAATTATGAGCTCTCTCTTCTACTATAGCTTGTTCGGCATATTGAATACCTTTCTAATGAATTAAAACTAAGTAATTAATAAAAATATTTGTAATCTTAAATAATTTTTTACTTGGATATAATCGTTCGGATCGCTGGCCATCGTTTCTATGATAATAAAGCGATAAATATATAAGTTTTTAAATGTTCTTCGTCTTGAATATTGTTAAAATTTACAAACAACAACAACTGTAAATGACAAAAATTTCAAATTACTATCTCGTACAAGATGACGGCTATCACAATATAATCATAAAAAGAAACAACAAAAAGCTATTTTCTTCACTTGCGTCAATCAACTCAGACGAAGGAGAGGTTGTGTAACATGGAATGAGTCATTCAACTCTATTGGCAGTAAGGCCTTGTTTACACTGAACAAAATAATGCTGCATTAACCAATGAGATTGTTAGAAAAGTTAAAACAGAGTTAAGTCATCTTTCTGAGATGACTAAACAGTAATTCACCAATCCTAGATTAATTCGTC